TGAAATTCTCTATCTTCTTTTAAACTGCACATTTAGATATCTATGATGAGTCAAGCCTTAAAAAATGCTTTGAGTGGAAGAGGAACGAATTAGACTAGAGACTTTTAGTAGCACCAGCCGGCAAAGTTTCATTCGATGCGAGTTGTCTTCACATGAGACCTGTTCACGCCATAAAAAACTTGCTATTTGATATATTAGAGTGTATTCAATTGTAAAATACCAGTAAACTCTTTGATATTTTGCCCAAATTTATTTGAAATAATTATAGACAGTTTGTGTTGGTTATGCTTCGTTTGAATAAGGTGGGGTGCGCTTTAAGAAACGCCATTTTTTCATTTAATAATTTTCTTCACACTTAAATTACTCACCCATCTCCTATTAATAATTCCAGATGCGGCCTACATCTCAGACTGTCAGCACCTCGGCCGCTTTTTCCTTGGCCGCTGGTCTGCCTGCCTCTCTTGAATTCGAAGCTCTGCGTTCAGTGCTTACTGGACAACCCCCTGTTAGCAGCCTACTCACTGGAACCGTCACAGGTGAAATACCTTGTGGCGCTAGCACCCGTTACCATCCCAGTGTATCGGAAACTTCGGCTAACCAGACTTTGGCTATCCCCGGCACAGGTAACTCTGCTGCCACAGTAGTGAATTTTGGCCAGTTGCAACAAGTGATACTAAACGCTTTAGCTGCTGGCGGATCTGCCAGCAATGCAAACAGCTCTGCTGGTTCGGGTCAGACCGCTGCTGGTCTTATGCTTTCGAGTAGTGGATCTGTCCCTCAAGAAATTCAGCACGCTCTCTTGATGGATGGTGGTAACTCCTCTGCGGCAAATGTCTCAGCCTCCTCACTCTCGCCTGGCCCACTGCAGTCACCTGCCTGCTCGACGTCACTGCTTAATGGTCAGCCCGGGACACTCAGCCTTTCAGGCGCAACTGCCTCATCTAGTGGGCTCCTAACGCCGCTATATCTTCCAGGTCCTGGTTCGGCTGGTTCTTCGGCATGCACTGCGGCCTCTGCTCTCCTGACTGGGTCCCATGGACATGCCTCTTCTCTGCAACTGCCTGCCTCACTCTGCCTTTCGCAACCCAGTACCAGCAACAGTTCTATCGCTAGTATGCCCTCTCTTGGTAGCTCTACTTGCTCTAGCAACGCCAATTCGGCAGCTAATTCAACACTTTCTGCTGCTGCTGCAGCCGCCTTGAAAGGAATCGCTTTGCCTACTGGCGAATGTAAGTGACAGTGTATATAATATATATTATACCTTATTAACATGTGTGACACGGGCATATGTTCACCCTTAAAATTATGATACTCATTCATAAGCTACGTTGGTATCACAGTTGTCATCATGATTGTTTGGTATGTTAAAACCACTTTTTGTTTCATAAGTAGGCCTTCGAGAGTACTATTAAAACTTATATAACGGCTTTATTCATCTTTGCTTCCAAAAAGGTATTCTTATTAGACCTAGGCGAGGTCGATAGTGCAATCCGTCTAAATGGGAATATCTTTTAGGAAGCAAGGCTGTGAAATTCAATGGAAACACGTGGCCCTCATTTTCAAATACCTAATACTATTAGTATTACCTCTACTACTACCACTACTATTAATAGTACTTTGGCAATTATCTATCAAATTATAAAAAAC